GAGGACTACAATTATTATTATTATTATTTTTTCTAAAATTATACTTTTCATTTAGGGTAAAAATTACAATTATAATATTCTATTTTTCAAGTGTGAAATAGTTATTACAAAATCAATAAAGCCCCTATAAATTCTCAGAAAAATGCTAAAAATCTCGAAATTTAGTAGAAATTTTGTTGGAGCCTTGCATAAATAGTTTATTTCTTTTCTGCCGCATTAACTTGCACTAGAGATTTTTTTTTTAAAAACACATTATACTCTTACTTATTTGATAAATTTTAAAACAATTTACGATGCATAAAGATTACCCTAAAATTATACAGTAAGAGGAAATTACATAAAAACAGATATTTAATTTTTTAAATTCAAAAATCAAATTTTAAGTTTATTTAATAAAAAAATAAGGTATTAATTGAATTATAATTAAAACCCTAATTTATTTTCATTCCTCCGTCTCACTCTTGTCTCTCTCTAAACAAATCGGGCTTCAAATATTTTCTCCATTCTCTCTCTAAACTCACCTAATTGCCTCCCTCCATTCTCTCTCGCCTTTCTGTCGCCGCCGCCGCCTCTTTCGACCATGAATTCCTCACATTTTCGTTGCCGCCACCCGTCGTTGACACATAGCCCCATCACCACCGTCAATCCATATCGCTTGCCAGGAACTTAAATCGCGACGGTGAAACTTTGCACTGCGCGACAGAAGCTTCAATCACTCCTCACCTTTCTGTTGCCGCCATCTGCAGTCGTCGCCCAACCCCATAACCATCCTCAATCCATTTCACCCTAGAAGGAGTGCTAATCGCTGCAAAGTGCGGCGCTTCAAATTGCGACGCAAATCCACCCACTCTAGTGACTATTTGCAACTAAAGCACCGCAACGTTGCTATGCCGATAGTGTTTTGTCTGGTGGCGGGGATTGTGGCGGGGGATATGGCGGTTGGGGTGGTGTTTTGTGTGGTGGTGGTTTTGTAGTGAAATTGGTGGTTGTGGTGGTGAGGAGGAGGAGGTGGTGGTGAAAAGATGGAGAGTACGGTGTTCCTACTGGTTGTCGTAAGATGGTGGTGGTTTTGGATGCGGCAGTGGTGGTTCGGCGCTCCGGAGGCTGTGGTTCTACCACAGGTCACAAGTGTTGGTGCTGGTGGTGAAGAGATGGAGATTACGACGTTCCTAGTTGTCGTGAGGTGGTAGTGGTTCTGGCGACGGTGGTTCGGCACGTTGGGGCGATGGTGCGTCGGAGGTAGCAAGTGTTGGTGGTGGTCACCAATTATTTAGTCGACTGTGACCATTAAATTGGTTAATTTGTGACCAATAAAAAAATAATAATTTGTAACCATGAAATTATATGTGACCTAAAAATTTATTAATTTGTGATTGACTAATAAGTTGTGACTCATAATGACACGTGGCCTATTAATTTTTTAATTTGTGACCTATGAAAATTTTAATCTGTGATCGTAAAATAATTTGTGATCTATAAATTTTCTGATTTGTGATCGAAAAATAATCTGTGACCAATTAATTTGATAAAATGTGATCAATAAATAAGTTGTAACCCATTAGTATGTATACGTAATCACTGGCAAACCCACAACAATTTTTTTTTTACTTAAATATTTTTGAATTCTCATTTTTTATCCCACAAGAAAAATGGTTTCGATCCGTCCCTGTACGTAACCATGAATTGTATAATTGTGATTTTAATATATTTAATTAATAAAATATAATTAATTAATACCTGATTTTTGCAATTTTTAAATTTAATACCTGAAAATTGATTTGGTAATAGTTAAAATCTGATCCATGAATTCTTTCCATACAGTAAAGAGCATA